CTTTTTTCCGTCTTTTTATTATAGCGTCGCAATCAGAATTCCACCAGGTCTTGCATGAACTTTTGGAGTGTTTGTATTCTGATTTTTTAAAAGGTATGGTTTTCGTACTGATTTTGGACATAATATCCACGAATTGTTCGTAATTCAAGAGTGTGCCTTTGTTGAGCTTTTTGAGCTGTTTCTCCCACTGGTCACCATATTCTCCCCAGTTTGCCTTGTCCGTGTTCCATTTACCATGAGACTTAATGGGACAGCATCGGATTGTGTCTCGAAAAAAGGAGAAATAGATTGGTAGGTGATCAGAACCCATAGGGTCTTCAAGCACCTCCCATCCTACGACAGGAAAGATATCAGGTGACACCAAAGTTATGTCCACGGGTGAATTCTTTTTTGACTTTGGAGACCCTATCCTTGTGGGGGATCCGTCATTGGCAAATATCACGCCATTATGTTCGATCGCTTCTAGAAAGTTTTCAACTTTTTTGTCAGTCCAGTCCGACCCAAATGCAATATGATGAATATTAAAATCACCAGCGACCAAGAAAGGTTTGGGTAGACTTTTGAAAAATTTGTTCCACTCACTCAACGGTATGTTTTCCGAAGGGGTCACATAAACAGAGACCACTGTGAGGGGAGCCGCATTACTACGTATAATTCGGATACTGATTGCGAACTGATGAAGCTTGCTGCCTGTGCGATTATAGTCCACAAACTGTATTTCCCTTTTAATCAAGATACCCACACCACCATAGCCATCGCTTCTATCTTTCCTAAGAAAGTGATATCCTTTGAATTTACAAAATGAGGAAGGGGATAGCCACGTCTCTGACAAAAAGGCCAAAAATCTGCTTTGCATGCATTAATACCTCTAGGCTTCCTTTTTTGGTCTTAATCGAGTGTGAATTCCATTGCAAACATTTTAAATTAATGGTGTCGGAATTGATCATAAAGGCTTTGAAGTGTGAAAGGGTACAAAATCGAGTCTGTAAGTCCATCTGGCGAATATTTAATTTTAATACGCTTCGTTATTTTACATTTGGGAAAACATACATATATATACACACACATACACATACATATACACATACATAAACATGCATATCCATACACACACACATACATGCATACACACACATACACATACACATGTGTACACATACCCACATATCCATCCATATATATATACATATACACACAAACGCATGCATATATCCATACCCACATATACTCGCATACGCATCCATATATACATATACATACATACATCCACACACATATACATACACACACACACACACACATATATATATATATATATATATACACAAACAAACATATATGCATTATCACGGACATGTACATACATAGATACACTACATTTACGTACATGTATTTGTTATGTCCTTTTTAAAGATTATTTATCAAGTTTGGAAAACGGGTAGGCTCATTACGCTATTTTGTATTATACTTTTTAAGTTTGTGGACGAAAAAATATCCTCTTTTTGCGAGTCTTTAATTAAGTTAATTACCCGAAAGACAGATTCACAAATGAGAGCAAAGTTTGAACTTCTCTCAACATCATTCCCTTTTGGACGATATGGGTTATGGGGGATTAGTCCTCCTGAGATGTCTTTTGGTGTTGGAGTTAGAGGGCTGTACAGCCTTTTTTGTAGCCATGTCTTCTCCAGGTGGGGAGGTCAATCTTCTCTTACAAGAAGTATTATTTTGAATTTTGTGGGCGGACACCGATGTGGTGGTTAGTTCCGGGAATACGGAGTTATCTCTAAGGGACGGGACTGCGGTAACTTTCGCATAGGATTTTTTCCCTAACAGCTGAATGGCGTCCTTATAGGAAACATTATCTACTGCCATCACTGTTTTTTTGCTTTTCGTATTCGGGGCATTCTTTTTGTGAAAACACCGAATGAGGGCCCTTGCAATGCAGACATTTCACAGCGATTTCAACTTGGGGACAATCTTTTTTCTCATGACTGCCTGGACAGTGAGCACAACGCAACATCCCTTTGCAATGTTCTTTTACGTGCCCATAGCGCAGGCATTTAAAACATAAGACAACATTTTTAATATACGGTTCAACCTTACATTTTACATAGTGAATCGTTACAGATTCGGGCAGAGTTTGACCCCTGAACGATACTAAAACCGTACCCGTGTTTACTAAATTGCCAGCTTCCGTAGCGGGTTTTTGTCTGTCTAATTTTCGTTTAAATCTTTTAACTCGTAAAATGTTTGCATTTTGATTATCTGTTTTTATTGTCTGCAAAAATTCCGTCTCGCTGAAATCAGTATCTACTCCTCTTATTATACCCTCTCTAACGGTCAGAAATGACGGAATATACGCCCTAAAATTATTGTTTTTGAAATATTCAGACTTAACTAATAGGTTTGCCGCTTGGTATGTCTTTAGAATGACCCTGATTCTGTTCCGACCCGATTTATCTATGGCGATCACTTCCTGTCGAATTTTTGGGTGATTCTCATAGATTAATTTTCCCAGTGTCATAGCGTGCAATCCTGATAGACCGCGTGCTTGGTCGTTAATTTGTTTGGCCTCCAAATATACGTGATAAGGACCCTTATCAAAAGTCGAAAAAAGATTTTCTTGTTTGTCAGAATGTTCAATGTTCAAACTTAGTGCATTCTTATCGTGGCCCGATTCAGAAAAATCTGACCTAGGTGTGGGACTAACATAGTCTTCCATTCTGTCTGGACTATCGAATCCCAGTCCCGAAGGGACTGGAATCTTGCCCCCGCTCAAGGCCGACATTCCCTCTGGTCGACAGCCGTCGACCGGGATTGCCTACAAAGTTTATTAACAAAATTAATAATATTAATATTCAACAAAACCGATGTCCACAAAAAACAGTACAAAAAGAAAACTAAAAGGACTGGCACTGCCCAAAAATTGGAAAAAAAACAACAATAATAAATGAATATAGAGTAAATTGATTTACGAATCTGTAGAAAAACAACAAGTAGCCGCGGCTCTCTACAAAACACGATGCGTTCCGCTCAAAGGTCGTGGCCGTACTGAGATGAGTGTAGATTTAAAATCGCTATGTGGATGAAATTTTGGAACATCACGCGTTGCCTATCCTCGATGAAATCAGCGACAATGCTATTCTAATGCACGATACACAGCATCTCACAGCATCAGGGTCTCCTGGCCAGCCCGTTTTGCAGACTTGAAATCCCAACGAACATTTTTGGGAGAACCTAAAAAGACGAATAAGAGGACGTCCATCACTTCCTGATACACTCCACGATCTTTAAAGGACTCTTCGTGAATCCTAACCTCTTCAATGAAAAATTTCCAGACTGGTAGAAAGTATGCCGAGGCGTCTTCGAGATGTAATTACGGCAAGAGGAGAAATACGTGATATTGAAATATTAAAAACTTTTATCTTTTCTTTTTTTTTAATTTTTCATTTTCCTCAGCAATTTACTTTTTTAAAACTTCTTAACATACAGACTCAATTATTAAACGTTAAAAAACGTGAAACTTTGATTAATATATATACATATATACAAATCAAGTTATATTACAAGTGGGTGAACTTTTTTGCCTGTTAGTGTATTTTCTTAAAACCTTGGCACAACAAGTTTTTGCGCAATGTTAGTTTATATTTAAAAATGGTTAAAACTGAATGACATTTTTCTCAAGGATTAGGATTTCTCTTAAAATTCTTAACCACAGCATATAGTCACAATGTACTTATAATTAATTCAATCCCAATTTTTTTGAAAACAAACCACATTCTAACAGTTTTGATATAAGTTCTTTGTAAAAAAATGTTAAAAACAGGTAATTGTTATGCACCAATATGTATAATAGGTATACAATTACAATAAAATATAATTATGTTAAATTAATATTAAAATTAATTTAAATTATTAAATAAAATATAAATATTTTTTATCTCAACTAAAAACCTTAATTAATTGAAAGATATTAATTGGTCAAGCGGACCACGAAAACTAGTGAATAAAATATTAAATTAAGAACAGGCAGTTATTTTCAATGTAATTCTATTGCAAAAGTATGACTTATTTTATATTAATTTATAAAATGATATAAAAGTCTTTATGCAAAATTTTATTGTAATGTAACTGTTTGTTTAAAGTATGTTTTATTTTCACGTTTTTTCCATTAATCCTACCTTTTGTTTAATGTTCTTGATTCTTATCAACTCCACTTTCCATTAAAATTGGTGGTGTTTGAATTATTAAAATTTTTTATTTGTCAATTTCATTTTATTTTTTGACAAATTGGGGTTGTGACCTTGTGAATAATAACTCAGAAACTGAATTTTGGTGTTGGTACTTATGCTATATTATGTGTTAATGGTAGAAATTCCAACAGTCTAGAATCGTAGTGTTTTAACCTTCTAATTACAATGAATTTATTGCCTGTTAAATCGATTACAAGTCGTTGTAAACTATGTCATAACTATCGGAAATGACTCGTTGAGCGAATAAGAGAATGTAGGCTCCAGCATTAAATATTATCAATTGCGCAATCCATCTGGGCTTGTTTCAGTTGGAGGTCAGATTATTGGTATTAATAATAAATTATCTTATCTGGAATGGATTTGAAGACTGCCCTGCTTTGCATTCTTTTGATAGGATAAAGAATCATTGACTTCCAAGAATAATCATAGAATGCGCTGCGATGACCTCAACAATTGAAATCTCAAAGAAGCAACCGACACGTGTATTGGTCAAAGAACATATTTTTAAAGAACATAATTTCTCTCGAAATTTGATCGTTCATAGCACATCCGTAAAGATGAACCGGAATATCACAATGAACACTGGTAACCTTGAGGGGAGTTGAATGATACCATTAACCGCCATTATCCAATAGTTGGTTGAATTAGCAATTCGCTCATTTTTAACTATAATAAGCTTGTAAAAAGATTGATATGATCTGCCATTTCGAAAATTTGACAGGAAACTTATTTCCTTAATTAAATCACCTGTCAACACCACGACGGCCAGGCGGAGGCAGTACTGCGCCAGTATCACATTCTTTTTGACAATGGATCTCAAGTAATCGTCCCAGATTATCGAGACGGAAACATAATTCTGGAGGGCGGTTCCAGTCATCGTCGACATGGCCAGGAAAATCTGTACCAATTTCCCCAGTCTGGAAATAACAGTAATAATTATAATATAGCACATTTTAGATTCGTGTATTAGACAGAAGATGCCGCAAGGCTGGGTTCAAAGATAAAATGAATTAAAGATAACAGTAAAGAGTAAAACAATGAAAAATCTTGTCCAGACATATTTTTCATTAATATAAATCTTTATATTATTTATTGTTATTGTGAGATTAAGAACTAAGTGGTTATATCCAGCTGCGGGATCCAATGCCCCAGAAGTAAAATTTTAATAAAATTAAAGTTATAAAACCTCTTAATTAATTTAGTGTAATAAAAACACATCGAACGGAAGCGGAAAAAAAGATGAATTATTCAGTGAAAGACCAAGAAAGGGGAACCCTACTTAGACTCTTGGTCTACTTACAAATCATGTTGAGGTAGGTTGAGTGTGACAGAGGCTTTCGCCTCCTCGCCGAAGTTGAGGTAGCCCAAGAGTCCGAAGAGGCAGTAGAGCAGCCCGGAGAGAAAGGCGTTCATGTTGAGCACGCCGAAAGTCGAAGAGATGTTTTTCGGCTTGAGCATCTCGCTTTGGAGAGGTAGCACCTGAAATAAATCTCTTAAGATTTTCATATTCAGATTCACGGGGTTTCAATCTTTTGTAAAAAGATAGTTCCTACTCACAGTTGTTTTTAATGATCTGGATTTCGAGCTTATCATCATCAGTTTGAAGAAGTTTCTACAACCACGTCTCTCGATATCGATTGTAAGACTCCTTCCTACAGACGTGGTTGTAGAACTCCTTCAAACTGATGATGAGCTGTAAGCTCGAAATCCGGATCGCGAAAACAACTTACCACCAGACCGCGTCTCACGATTTCTGAATAATTACTGCAAGTAGGTAGTAGGTACTACTTTTGCAAAGACACCATTTCTACCATTCATAATTTCTATTTACGGGGTTTACCCACCAGGCTGAGGCACCCGCTGGCAAAGAAGACTGCACCGAAGAATTGCGGTAAATGGGCGACTGAGCCGAACATCCTCGCCTGCGAGAGAGCGGCCATGTCCCTCGTCGAATAGTACATGACGGCGACGACGCTGCAAAGTAGTACTATGTTGCCGAACGTGGATATGAAAGCGAGCCTCTTCAAACTGATTACCATACTCATCGCCAAGATCGGGATGGCCAGAAATAGTGTGTAGAACCTTATTGTGTGCTCGCCGATATACGGATCCATAGCCTGCCAATAGACCGAATCAGTAAGGGCTTTAAATGAGTCTACCATATACCTACTGCTTTGACATTTGACGATATGAATATAATATAGACACAGACGCTGCCCAGTTGAGTCCCGATAAGAAGTATGTTAGTTGTGGATCTACAAATAAATTTTTTCTTATAGTAGCAAACTAAACAGAATTAATTTTACACAAGATATGTCAACCATCGCTTTATAACACCTCTTGATGACATGAAACGATTTACATTATATTACGCGTATGAAAATCCTTAAACAAATATAAACTGACATGAAAAATGGCCCTACGGGCCTCACTATTTCGGGTCCTTCTTTGAAGGCGGCTTCTAGGGTGCTTTGGTAGGTGAGGACGGCGTTGTTTTTCTTTCTGTTACCCAATTCCCTCGAGCAGATCGCCTGGAACGTAAATAAAATAAAGTTCACTGGTGCGGAAACGCCTAGGCTGTGGTTTAAGGATCACTCTGTACAAGTTACAACTAACCAGAAGCACGGAACAGTAGTTGACTAAGTAGGTGATGGCAATGATACCGAGGATGCCTCCGAGGTAACCGGATTGGTTAAAGGCGAACGGGAGGGCCAGGATACCAGTTCCGACGGTTCCTCTGAACATGTGCACCAAAGCTTCCCAGTACCTGAACATTTCGACATTGTAGATTGACTGGACGGTTTAATGTCACAATTTCTTACGATGTTTTTGGCCTGAAATCATCCTGGGCCTTGTTTTCTTTTTCCGCCACTTGCTGGAGTCCACCATTCGAGTTCAGAGCTATGGTAAACGGGCCATCCCTGTTTGAACAAATAAATTAGAACTTTAAATTTTCTGATTCAGTTGTTGTTTCTCTCTCGTGGTGTCATCCGATTGTGGATTGTGCGAACCTGTTTGTAATCAGGTAAATAAAGTTTTAATAACTAGTTCCATTTCGAAAAGACCCCAAAAATTCTGAGCTTTCACAAAAGCAAAAACGATTAGAGACTCTATACAAGCTGAAAAATAACGTGTACAAGCCATCTGACTCAGGCCCATTTATTATATTTATAGAAAGTGTCGATAATAGCGCTGGAAACATCCACCCTATGGTTTTGGGTAAAATGATTTGGCAATTGCATAAAGACATTACAAGTAATACCGTACACATACCTTCTTCGGGCCGAAACAGGATAAAAATTGAAACAAAAACACACGCATCGGCTAACTCGTTAATCAACCCGGACGTTTTCAAACAAAAAAAAAAATTACATTGTTACATCCCTTCGTTCTTCAATAATAAAATGGGTGTCATTCGAAACGTTTCAACGGATTTAAGCGAAGAAGAAATCCTTGAGAACATCTCCCCTTCTACTCGCGTTAAGAATATCCGCAGACTTACTAAGCGGGTGGTAGAAGAAGGTGGCTATACCAAAACCTTTGCGTTAGGTATATATATTATGCAGGGTGGACGACCAAGACCCGAGGGGTTAAAAGCCTAGGTAGGCCCGTACCCCATCCCTAAAAGGTCCGGGACTTGGTCGGCTCACGAGTCCTGCATAAACCTCTTGGACCTGTTTACAAACCCCAAGATTTTGGACCATTTTATCTTGGGGAGTGATTTGTCAATGTCCTCTCCTTCAAAAGTTTCAAATCTATCCCTGGCATACCTATCACATTCTGCGAGGTAGTGTCGAGCCGTTTCTTCTTTTATTTCACAGAAGCGGCAAAAGGGGTCTGGTAGAATACCCATTATGAAGAGGTGTCTTCTCAAGGGGCAATGGCCCGTTAGGATACCTATCAGCCTCCTAATTCCCCTCCTTGAGTTAGAGAATAACCATTTCGCTTCTTTTGGTTTGATTTCCTTCAGAAACTCCTTCGATTGCCTATGTCCGGGGGACAGATTCCATTCTTTAAGGAATTGTTTCATGCCCCAGCAATTAATACTCTCTTTCGCTGTGCTTATAGAGTGGGGTAATACCGGTTGTGGCCCGACAAACGCGGTATTTGAGCCTTCTTTGGCCAGGCTGTCCGCCTCTTCATTGCCATAGTGTCCCTTATGAGCTGGTATCCATATGAGGGTTACCCTATTCTCGTCCCTGGTAGTAATCCTGTTAATAAATTCAACGGTTTCCTCCACCAGCCTAGATGTTGATAACTCTTTTTGTAATGACTTAAGACTGGCCTGACTGTCTGAAAAGATTCTTATATCTTTTCCCTTAATCTTGTTATCCATGAGTGTTCTGCAACAAACATTGATGGCCCAGACCTCCGCCTGAAAGACCGAGGTGTTATTACCAAGAGGGGAGGAGATACTGATCCCTAATTTAGGTATGTGTATTCCAGCACCGCTTCCCTTATCCTTAATGATTGAGCCATCGGTGAAGCAGTCTAGGCTACGATGGTTCTCATCCGCACTATAGTTATAATCACAGGGAGTAATTACCTGAAAGTGCTTTTTCCCTAAAGGTGTTTTAACCTTTTTATCGCTAACGCTGAGTAGTTGGTTATTAACCTTACTCAGTAAATGTAGAATTTTCGAATGACCTATGTTGTTTCCCTTATGGTTCCAGCTACCTTCACTAATTAATCTATAGCAGCTGGTTAGTGCTCTAACCTTAACCTCTATGTATAGAGGTTTAGTATTGGTTTCCGTACTTGGTACTTGCATAGTGACCTTTGACTCCCAAAGTTTGCTTGAGTTTGTAAATATTTATGGCATGCGTTGCAAAGTAGATCCTTATGTTGCCCCAGTTAGGCAATGTTTTAATTGCCTTCGCTTAAATCATCTGAAAGACCAATGTAGAGGGAAGAGTAAATGCATGAATTGTTCTCAAGAACATCCAAGTGAAAATTGCTCCAATACCGCAAAATACTTGCACTGTGCGGGCAATGGTAGGGCTAATGACCGAAAATGTCCCAAATTTATCCAATTATTAGAAGAAAAGAAATCAAAAACTTTAGCCAACACTATGTACCCTAAAATAGTTATCTCTAATAGATTTAACTTATCGGAAAACCAAGAAGACTTTCCCGAACCGGCTGAATACATGCCGGCAAAAAAACTTAACCTACGTAAACATCTTAGCCTAACAAATAAGAAATCTTGATCGTCCTTTCATGGTAGGCACTCGGCCACCCCTCCAGATCATGTAGAAGAGGAATCAGATAATTTTGATCCTTATACCCAAAACCTCTCAAAAAAGAAACGAAGGTATTTCCCTTCTCCTGATTCTATGGGCAAATCGATCTCAACTCCAATTAGCGCCAATCCGGATTCTCGTTTAGACTTCAACGCCCCGGAATTTAATGTTATGGTGAACAATCTCAGTTCATTGATTGAAGAATCTAGAGGCGAATCGTCAGATGTTGTTTCGAAATCCTTTCCCGCTTTGATCAACGGGGTCTCCGCGTTTTTGCAACAATTAAAAGTTGCTTTGTCGATCAATTTTTAGATCTTTACTGTAAGATCTATATTAACCCATATTTATACTTAGTATACTCATGGAAAAAAATAAACTAACTTTTTTTGCAATGGAATGCTCACTCGATCCAACATAAGAAAGAAAACTTGGAAAAACTTTTGCACAAATTGGACATTGACTTAGCCTTCTTGTCAGAAACATGGTTAGACTGGAAAACTCTCTGTAAACTTTGCAATTACCATTTTCTTAAGTTAGACAGAGAGGTTCTTTGGTATCATGTGTTCAAAAAACCTACGAACGCATTTTAAAAACACGTCTAGAGTGGTGGGATGAACGAAATGGTAAATTCCCTATGTCCCAGTACGGGTTCCGGAAAAACAAATCAGTAACCGATGAGCAATTATCGCTGATCTCAGATGTTCAATTGGCTCTCGCCAACAATAAGTCGGTGTTGGCAGTTTTCTTGGATGTGAGCAGAGCTTGCAACAATGTAAATATTTTTCAACTTGGTTCTAAGCTGCATAAAATGGGTTTGCCCAAAAAGTTCATCAGAAACATCACAAGTTTAATCACTGATAGGAAGCTCTATTTCGAAATTAATGACATCTTGATAGTCCTATAATGGCCGTCCACAGGGTGGAATTCTTAGTCCCATCCTATATGCTTTGTACGTTTCTGATCTACCTTCTATTTTGCCGGACTGGATACGAATCATACAATACGCGGACGACATTTATCTCTATGCCATTGAAGATTTTTAGAATTGCGCAAGAACAAACTTGCGGAGTTTAATCCGAATTTTGACAAATGGCTCGAAGGGAACGGTCTGACGATATCGGACTCTAAATCTGTTATATGCCCGTTTACCCGTAAAAGAAAAATAGACTTACCGAATGAAATTATATGGCCATTCACAAATTCCCTGTCAAAAGACACGTTAGGTTTTTAGGTCTAAACATTGACCGCAAACTCACGTGGACGACACACATTAATCTTGTCTTAGCTAAATGCGAACTGTATAATATTCTTTGTAGCCTTACTGGCGCCAGATGGGGGGGGGGCAGATCCACAAACTGGCCTACTATTTTATAAATCAACCATTAGATCCGTTGTCGACTTCGGCTTATTATTTTACGGCCAAGCCTCCAATTCCCATTAAACAAAATACAGATGTTCTGAAACAAGTGTTACAGACGAATCCTCGGAGCTCTTCCAAGTACCCCAATCATATCGCTTTCCGTTGAATCTTCAGAACCCCCTCTGCACTTAAGAATCGAAAAATTAGCAATTAATAAAATCATAAACAATTTTTATTCCGACAGCCTCATTTTGCCTAAGATCACAGCTTTGGTTGAGGTAGTCTTAACAGAACATTTCTAGTTGAAAAAAAATGCTTCCTATAGTTTCAGCCTTTTTAACGGTCATTACTGAGATACGTTCAATGTATTCTCACGAGCACTCCCCTATTCTTCAGTTAGGTTACTGCAAAGTCCTACACATTCCACATAAATTTTATTTTGAAGACCATTCAGACTGTCATTCTCCAGCAGTGAATGTAATGTTTCTGGAAGACGTGAATCGGCTGTTCCCTGGATATCATCTCGTCTTTACTGACGGGTCGGTGCTTGGAGGAAATGTAGGGTGTGTTTTGTTTGACCCTTCTCTCAATGTTTCAAAAAGCTATCGGTTGCCTGATGCGGTCTCTACCTTCACTGCTGCGTTATTTGCCTTGATTAGAGCCCTTGATTATCTGACGACGCTAGATGACACCAAATTTTGCATTATAACAGACAACAAAAGTGTCACCGCCCAAATAGAAAACTTCCACCCAAACTCCAAATGCGATTATGTAATAACGGAAGTAATAGGCAAGGCGTTTAACTTCAAATCAAAAAATAAAACTGTGGTCTTTTGCTGGATTGGCATTGCGGTATAAAGAGCAACGAAATCGTGGACTTGTTAGCTAAACGAGCAACAAAGGACGGGGATTTTATGGACATCAAATTGCCAAAGTCTGACATCAAACGTTCCCTGAGTAATAAATGGGTAAAAGCCTGAAGCATTTGGTACAACGTGGTTCAATAAGGTCATTTTATCGATCATTGTTCCCGGAAATAAATATCGCTTCATGGTTTTCGACAGAGTACGGAAGCAAAAAACTTTTTTCTGCTCAATACGCTTAAGAACAAATCACGGCATTTGTGGATCTTACCTGCATCGAATTGGTCTTAGGCCGTCGCCAAATTGCTACACATGTGATGAGCCAGAGAACATGAGGCACATTGTCTTTTTCTGTCTTGAATAAGAGACAGAAAGAGAGAACCTTTTAAGACCAGCGGAGGGAGGTGATCAAGCCGTTCAGCTATGAAACATTGTTAGCATCAGACAGTGGTGGACAAACTTATTTTTGAGTTCTTGCAAGATAGCGGAGTAGATATATAGACTATTCAAAAATAATCAATGTCCGGGAGGCCTGCACGCGCGGCCGTCGGGTGGAGGAGTGGAGTGCTCAGGGCGCCTTTTGCCTCGGGTTGCGGGGAGGATGTGGACTTTTCCACAGCGCTGTAAAGCGATGTAAGTGGTTTTTATCTACATCCTCCCAATGCACCCGTAAGAGAGGGCGGAGTTCCCAAATGTAGAATAAAGGGGGGGCGCTCTAGGTCTTTTACCGGGGGTGGCTTTGGTCGGCTCGCGCGGGTTGGGCGGGTGGTGTCGCTGGCAACACGGGACACTGGCCGTATGCATCCAAGCAAAGAAAGAAAGAAAAAAAATTCTGATTGTTTCCCGATCAGAGAAGAACACGATATCGATTAAGCGCAATATATAATGTTTGAAAAATATAAGAATTCATTTGATACCGCTGGTTAATTACAGTAATCCCTTAACATTCGTGGGTGTTTTGTTCCAGAAAACTGCAGTTGATGTTGGGACTATTCCTATGCTATAAGTAGGGTTACGTCCATGATGCCAAAAATTGAGATACAATTCAGAACTTTTACTCAAAATAAATTCAATAGAAGACATAACCGTGTTTGTACATGTTATTTGGTTTACTTGGTTGTAATTTTGTTGTAAAAGAAAAGAAATAACTTGTAATTGTTTTGGTAATTCTTTAATAATTTCCATATAAGGATTTGAAGCGGCTTCGACATCCCTTTTAAACTTAAAACTTCGATTTCAAGATCCATCCACCAAGAAGTTGGTCCCTCAAGGATAAAATTCCCCTGAGCTGTTTTGAAGAAAAGCTTTGGCCTGCATAAAAAATATTAAATGAAAGAAAAAAATTAAATAAACACGTGCCAAAAGACTTCCTCGCGTTCGTTTTCCCGGCTCTCATCTTCGCATTCAACTTCCTCAGATTCTTTAGTCTCATCTTCTTTTTGTTGCAACAGGCCATCAAATCCTTCACCTTCACTCTGATGCGCTAGCCGAACGATTTCTTCTTCCTCATCTTGCACTTCTTTTCGACGACCTGTGGCCATATCTTTCTCCACCAAGCGTTGATTGAGCTAGGCTTCAATTGCGGCCAAGATGCATCGATGTTTGCAATGCAATCGGCAATGTTAAATTTCTTCCAGCAACTCTTTACTATTTCATCTGAATTACAATCAACCGAATTTAAAATTCGCTTGACATTGTGTTTAGTGTAATAAGCCTTAAAAGTTTCGATACGAAAATAAAATTGTTTATGCGACTGTTTATTTTCCGCGAATAAAGGAATCGTACCTCCAGAAAATGTTTAATTTTTCCACATTTTATCATACGTGAACAGTGAAAATCGTAAATGTCAAAACCGCGAGTGTTAAGGGATTAATGTATAACCAAAATTTTTCTGATTTTGAAAAGATCAACAAGGGAGTTCCGCAAGGATCTATATTGGGTCCTATAATCTACCTAATTTTCACAAATTATCTCCATTTAAATTTTCCAAGGATACACTTGACTGATTTTGCAGACGATAACACCACATCAGTTCCTGATAAATCTCTAGAACACTTATATTGCAAATAAAAATAAGTTTAAATGATCTCAAAAAATGGTGAAAAATGGATCGTGCCTCAATAAAAATAAAACTCAAATCTTTACACAAAGCCTAAGGGGCAAATCCTGATTTATTTGGCACAAAATGGATCCTAAACTAAACTGCCCATTATACATTGTTATACATTGAGTTATCAACACCATAAAAGCATATTATGCTTGCTTTCAAACTTACTTCTCTTACTCCATATTGGTGTGGGGACCTGCTCCATCAGCAAGAAAGGTTTTTGCTACCAAACGAAAAGCAATCAGGATTATTTTAAAGTTAAAATATAAAGACGACTGCAGGCAAGCTTTCATTGATTTACAAATTTTGACTATCCCCTGAATTTATATTCTAAAGTACATGCATTATTAATAAGTTTTAATCATTTTCAATTTTAAGTTTTACTAATTTAAACTACCTAACATTAAAAACTTGTCACCACTTGTAACATACTGAAAGTCGCACAAAATGGTATGAAATATTGGTTGATGAAATGTTCTAATGATGTACCTTACAAATTAAAAGATTTAGATAAAAACAAGCTACGGGAAGTAATTTAACATAGTGGTTACCTCATAACAACAAAGTAAGCAAAGTTAAATTGAGAAATTGAATAGTTAAAGTCAGGGGAAAAGTTGTACCATAAAACCAAGACAATGAGAGACCGGTGATACAGATAATTAAAATGAGTGGAATGTTTTGAATGTGGACTAATATTTAAATTATAAGTGTACAATTTTATCAATATCTTTTTTTAATTAGATTTTTCATCAAATCATCTCAGATGTTATTATTTTAGACATTTTGTTTAATTTGTGCCGTTTGTACTGAAGCAAAATATCACATATTTATAACGACTTTAAGCGCTAGTTAAAAAGGTAAACAGACTTGTTAAATAGGTAATTATTGCGAGATGTTAAACACTCAGAGAGGATGTTATTACTTTCCCCAGTGTGAAAAAAAAGCTTTCGCGTTTAACTTTATCATTAGCCAACCATATGGAAATAGGTTCAATTATCGTCTTAGTTTCTTCTTCAGTGAGTCAACTGAGCCATTATTTCTTCACCGCGTAATTATAACTTAATTTGGCTTACATATTCAGACAAATCTGACGTCCAAACGTCAATGAAAAATTCTTGTATAGTGAACAATCCGTACCACAATAGACATATGTGTAGAATAGGGTTATATTAATAATTATTTAAATTCTTTATTTTTTTGTTCAATTTGGTGTCAAATATTTTAAATCTGGGTTGTTGGTTATTTCTCGAACTATAGGTGTAAATGACCAACAACCGTATATTATCAATTGTGTGTAAAATTAGATAAATAAATAAAGAATTTCTTACAAACAACGAAACGGTAGCCTGTTACGATACATCAGTCCTACTTCAAAAAGCCACAATTTTATTTGAAAAAAAAAACCAAAAAAAAAACAAAAAACTTACCCGACATGTTGTTTCGACATGGAAATTGTAGTTTCGACAGTGCATTTCCTATACCTACGACTTATGTATTTCTCCCACTAAGTAAAAATCCTTGAGGACTTTTATCGCTTCAAAAGCTACTAAAAATTTTACTTAGACTTTTTTTTTACGATCTATTTAAATAAATTAAGTAATGTGTAAACCAACAGCGCTGGGGATAAAATTTAAGTATAATATTAATTATTTTTAAAAGAAAAATCACTACGATAAATAAGGATAATCAATAAATCATGTATATACCACGAAAAAATAATCTTTATATAAATTAAGCTACATATTAAATTTTGCCAAATTGTGATGAATGGAAGTCCTTTCTGTTTATTCCTTAACCTCTTCGAACTATCTTTTAACTTCGATTTTGAACTTTTTTAAAGTAAAACTGAAAATTTAAAGCAGCATTTGTGTGGGACGTCACAAAAGGAGCATGAGTGTATTTAGGGAAAACAATATCCAACTCGGTCAAATTCTTCCATGACGAGCATATGGGTAGGGGAAAAAACGTAAAACCCGTAATTGTTAGTAAACATTCAATAATATAACACACAGTCAAAACACAATAAAACAAAAAAGACGGTGTCAAAGGTAATAAACGACTGGGACAAAAAAAATAAAAACATGACCCTTTCACTCTTCCAGATTTTACTAGCGTTTCAAAGGAACTACTAGGCTGTGCCAAAAAAACACACAGCTCAACCACTAGCAAAAAGAGATACATTCTTCTTAATTAAATGCTTAAGAAAACTAATTTCGTGATTTTAATTTATAATAAATTTAGTGTGAAATATTATTTGTCTTTTCTAAGTTTTAATGTTTTATGTTTGAGCACAAATTTTTTAATTTATGTATCAGTTTTTTAAGTTTTATTTAACCTTTATCACTGTTTGATCCCTGTTTTTTCCTTTCCAGCGGGCAGACATACAACGCGAATTGTCATTATGTTCGGTTGAGTAATGTTTTATGTACACAGACATAACGAAAAGAGACTTACTCTTAAAAGTAAATTTTTTAAAATTTAGTTTTAAATTATGAAAATTTTACGCTTGTTTACGATTGGTGCTTGGAAAATTCTGAGATTAAGAGATTCTTATTCAAAAGAATCATGCGTATTAATAATAACAACTTTTCAGTTTTTCTGAAATAACAATTTTCCAACTTACTAAACAGTTACTACAGTACCTAGTAATTTTTGTAATGATCCTTTAATGAAATTTAAATTTTTCCAAAAAAACAAAAAAACACATGGCTTTAAAAGCGACTTACTGTGAGATTTGAGTGATGTGGTTCAGGGCCTGTTGCGTTTCAATTTCCATTCCAAATTCCATGGTTCTCGTCTATTAGTCGCATTTTTGGTGTATTCTTTATTTTCAAGATGTGCAGGAGCTGTTTCGCTCTATTTTGATGATCAGAATGCCTAAATTTGAAAAGAAAATCTTTTGTTAAAACCCAAACCTGTAACTTATTCCAACTTATTGTTCAATATACGCTAGTAAATTAAACTGTTTAAAAAGAAAACAAATTTGACAAAAAATCTGTACTGTTAACTTTTGTTTTGTAAGGTGAATAAACTCATTTACTTCACAAGTTTCAACGAATTCCATGAAGACCGGAACGGGAAAGGACATTCATTGAATATATACATATGTGTCAGGGAAAGCTTGCAATCCACGAATTAAATTTTTTTCTTAATTTTTATATTTGTTAAATGTTCAATCCTTTATTTTTTTGCTATGTTATGTAATCACACAAAACACAACACAAACATACACTCACAAATCCTATTTGAGAGTTTTTTCCACTTTAATACTTTCTACAACTGATATTTGGTGATCAGAAATAACGATAGACACAAGATACTCCAATTCTAGATTTTTTGTCTCCCAGATTATTTCAAAATAAAATATTTTTTGTTATGTGGTTTAAGTAAAGGTTAAAACAAGATCTTGAACCATTAAATTAAAAAAATAAAATAAATAGAGTGATTCCATTAATAATAGTATATAGCATTATGACATTGTCATAAAAAGGAATAGAGGTTGTTATAATAAAAATTGTTGGTATTGAAAACCTGGTAACCACTTGAAAATATTGGTATACCCAATCCTCGCAAAAACTATCCACTCAACTTAACCTAGTGTGCAATTAATTTTCAATTGTGAATCACAGTCTTGTCAAAATTTGCAGATCTAGGTCGGAGTTGTTTTTCTGCCGCTCCGGACACTGCTAGTCTCTTATTTTCCAATTACGGAAGATTGTTGACCCTTCGAACTAAAGAAATATTTGAACACTGAATTGAAGCTTTACCAGCTCAAACGAAACCATGGATCTTGACGACATAAACCATGACTCGTGTCTGCAGACTTCAACAATGAATGTTCGCCTCTGCCAATTGTTTTGAGCCATAGCCAATTTAAAATTCAATTTTTTCGCAAGATCTTTATGAATCTAAATCATTACAAAGTCCATTTGAATCTCCATTGGATTCAGTTAAAATCTGAAGGCAATCAACACATAAGGCAGAATATTCTAATAATTTTTATTTTTGAGGCAATTGACATGTGTATTTGCGATTATAATTAAAAATCAGGCTTTTAGAAATTTATCTTATATAAAATTTATCTAACACAGTCAACCAATAGTGTATTTGCGATTATAATTAAAAATCAAGCTTTTAGAAAATTATCCTTTATAAAATTTATCTATCACAGTAATATAAAACTGTATTTGTGATTATAATTAAAAATCAGTCTTTTAGAAAATTGTTCAATATAAAATTTATCTATCACAGTCATACAATAGATATTTGCGATTATAATTACAAATCAGGTTTTTAGAAAATTGTCCTACATAAAATGTTGGAGGAGCCGCCGAACACTCGATTAGTATGTCTCGATAGGCGGCGCGACAGTCAGTTCAGTGATTCAGTCCACTCTTGTACATGTGCTGTTGTAATAAATATCTTTCGTTCTCAACTGTGTTTTAATAGGTTATGGGCCCAACACGCTTCCACTGTTTTAATAGGTTATAGGCATGAACAGCAGGATCTCTACAAAAATCGACCAGTTGTCGAAGGACAACTTCGACACATGGTGCATCCAAATGCAGGCCATTTTAATCAAAAATGACGCGTGGGGATTCGTGAACATTACAAAACCGGAACCGAAGAAGATGGACCACGACCACGTGGAATACCAAAAGTGGCTTGAAGCAGATCAAAGGGCAGGTCAGATATCATTTTAAGTATTTCACACCCGGAATTAAAACAGATAAAGGGCTGCAAAACCTCACGAGAAACGTGGCTGAAACTCGAGCAGATCTACCTTTCAAAAGGCCCCGCGAGAAGAGCCAACCTACTAAAACGAACCGAAGAGACCGACGTCCGCGAGCATTTGAACGAATTTTTCTACACTGCCGATATGGAGATATGGACATATATATTAAACCCGATTTATTGGCCATAGTATTACTTTACAGCCTCCCGAAGCTTCGAAAACTTCAGACGCGCTATCGAAACACGTGACGATTTACCTACTTCGGAAACCCTTAAAATAAAGATTCTAGAAGAAAACGATTCTCGAAGAACCCACCTAAACAATTATTCCGAGAATGCGATGCTCTCAACAAAGAACAGCTGGCATAATCGAACTCCCACGTACCAAAACGTCATGAAAATTATAGGTACGACCGACGTGAGTCTGGAAAATTTAGATTCCAATGCCATAGAGACCGGAAATACGGTCATAAAGCAAATGAATGTCGCTCGAAAAGAGAACCGGCCAAGAAAGCTGAAAATGTAGCATTATGCGCATTGAACATTTCCGCGAATAGCTCCCTGAAAACCTTTTGGTGCCTCGACAGTGATGCTACGTCCCACATGGTGAAAGACTCAACAAATTTTCAGAAACTGGAATATCCTGTAGACAAGGAACTGAATTTAGCGAACAACGACACCACTAAAATCGAGTCATCTGGAACAGCTTCCTTTGCCACCAGTCTTCGGAAATTTGGAGAACATTACTCTAAATGACACTTAACTTGCGTCCCTGACTTGCGTACAAATCTAATTTCCGTCGCCAAAATAACTGAAAAAGGATATAAATTCTTGTGTACACAAAATCAGGCGTTTGTTTATAAAAAACGTAAAGATGTAAAATTGATTAACGATCGTGTGGAAGATTTGTATTTTACGCGTGAAACCGAGAACTCAAGTTACGCTGCAAGACCGAACAATGACTTGAAATTATGGCATGAGAGGTACGGACATCTAAACGAGAGGGACCTAAAGGAAATGATACTGGCAAAGTCCATACCCTACGGATATATTTTCAAGGACAAATTACCCGTCTGTGAAGGGTGCCTGAAAGGAAAAATGACGGCGTTCCGTACCCGAAGAATTCTAACCGCGTAACAGAAATACTGGAAATCGTTCACACCGACATTTGTGGTCTTATAAGTACTCTATCGAACGGTAAGACAGGCAATCGACATTAGGTTCCCACTGCATTCCCAGAACCTTCACGGCAGAATCCTCCAGGTTGGACAGTGGGACAGATGGCACAGAGGGGTGAGTTGCGACATCACCGAGCAGATGAGGGGAGTTACTGCACCACTGCTTTAAAGCAAAACCTCCTTTTTGCAACAGAATTGTCAATTCGTGCTGGAGCAAACGAGCTTCTTCGATTGTATTCGCTCCCGTCAATATATCATCGACACACGTGTTCCTTAATAACGCTTTAGACGCCAAGGGGAATCCCTCGCCTTCATCTTTTATTAACTGCGTTAATACCCGGAGAGCTATGAAAGGCGCACAGGACAAGCCAAACGACAAACGGTGAAACTCATATTCTTGAACGGCTTCAGCGGGATCGAACCTATAGAACAGATGTTGAAATCTCCGATCCTCGTCTGCGATTATAATCTGCAGATACATCTGGATAATATCCGATGTTATAGCATATTTATGGAAGTTATGTAATCCGTTATAATAAAAGTCCAAAAAAAAAACTTTATTTATAATAACGAATACAATTTTATACAACAAGTATACCGGCCAACAACTAGCATAACACTGCGTCTAGCATAAGACTAAGAGTAAGACTTAATAGAAGACTAACGGAAGACTGTCGGCCCTAGCGCCTGAGCCCTATTTATATGGAAGTGAAGTTTGCTGACTCAGATGCTGTGGATTCTGGAAGACGCTACCATAACTTGGATCCTAAACGACAGCAAAATGTCCTTTATTTCTCTTTGCAGTTTTGGTCCTATCAGTAATAGGTCGTTTAGCGAGCCGGACGGTGTCGCATGGGAAGCGTCGAAGACTACACGCAATTTTGTCGTTGAGCCAACCTTTGACACAGTATGATGGGGAAGGAAATAAAGTCCCTCTCGGCAAGCAACAGTCATAAAACCCTGTTTCAAGTAGTCTTGGAACATTCGATCGTTCTCAGCCTTCAAATCGCCATCACGTAAGAAACGTAATTCCAACTTATGAAATCTGTTAAGTGCACCCAATTTGGAGTCTCTCAGGCTAACAGGATTCGACCGGAAAGGTAAACTGACGACGTATCTGCCGTCTTCCTGTCGCGAGTGTGTGCTGTTAAAATGCTCCTCACATCGGGCGTCCATCGAGTCATCTCTGGGCACATCAGCGACTTCTTTGACGCTCCAAAACCGGGACATCAACGCCTGCATCTCATCATTTTCAGACCGGGCGGTTACAAGTAACGAAGTCTGGTTTAGGTTATATGGAACGTCGATCCGACCTAGCAGAACCCAGCCGAATACCGTTTTAAGTCCGCTCGGGAGCCCATCTGCTAGCCTTCTTACTTCTCCCAAAAGAACGTCGGCAAAGAGATCCGCTCCCAAAAGAGAGATTCCAAGGGACTTGACGCCTACGTCATTCGATAAATGGAGCAAGGTATGGTGTCGGCCATTGCATCGTCGGCAAGTACGCTGGGTGGGGCAAATGCGGCAGGAATGACCAGAGGACAGGCCATTGAAGCAACGGTTCAATGATTTAATCCGATCCCATCTCTCCTTCGGTTTCCACGAACGTAAAACTGAACAGTCAAAAATCCTATGATTGTTCCGGCAGATTGGACATCGTGGTTGGTCAGGAGGGGCGTTCGTTGACATAAATACGTGGTTTGTTAATTTTGAGTGTTTAACTTCTGCTCCTGAGGTCACGTGGGAACTTGATGCCAGCGCGTTCGACTGAAGATTTAACATTTGCTTGTGAATGAAATCATTAAAGTCAGAAAATGTTGGTGGTTCCTGTCTTCCACCAAGCTCGTTTTCAAACCTTTCTCTTGTTTTGGAGTCCAGGAGACGCAAGGCGAACGTATAAAGTATGAAACCGTCCTTATCAGGAAGGTTCATTTTCCGGAAGGCATTGCAATTCTCCAAAACGACCGCAGAGAAGTTTTCCAATGTCGTGCAGATGAGTTTCGACATAAACTTAAAGTTGAAGAGCTGTGTCAGATGATTCATTGCTCTTATACGGCCATTATCGTATCTTTGTATAAGGGCTTGCCAGGCCTGACCGTAATTGGATTCCCAGATGTCGACAGCAGTAATGACCTGCGACGCAGAACTCTCAGACAGGAATTTAAGTAATGGAATTTTTGCACCTCCTTTAAATCCTCATTTCTATGTATCAATGATATATAAGTGTCCCTGAAGGAAGTCCATTTTGATAAATCTCCGTCGAAAGAGGGTAAACTTAAGCTGGGCAGCTTCAAAGTGGCGTTGTACGCTGCGGATTGAACCGAAGGCGCAACGTTCTCATTAGAAGAACTATTTTCTCGTTGTATCGAAATGGCTAATGCTTCATAATATTCCGCTTGAACGGTTGCCTTCAATTTGAAAAATTCATCAAGTGGCCTTTTCGACTTTCTCAATAATTTATTTACAGTTGAAATGGAGGCAACAAATTTTTTGAAGGCGTTATCAAGCCTGGATATACGAGCTTCGAACATAGGCAGATCGGCCGTATTCTGTTGCGAACGCCTTCCAATTTCAAGAGTTTCCTGCATTTCGGCAGATAAATCGTAAATTTCATCCTTCACACATTCAATTTCCAAATTCAGATCTTCTGAGCCTTTAGACATGTTGAAAGAAGAATATCAGATCAGGAAGATGTAAACGTAGCGAATACCTGTCAGGGAAATAATGGAGATGTGAAGTGCAGGCGTGGGAATGAAACGGAGTTAGTATATCCGGCCCGGAGGACCAGTTTTATGTTGGAAGAAGGGGTTTACCTCGATTGGGAAACAACGCTCCTTACCGTTCAGTAAAATTTTGCCGGATCTACTATTCTCCTTAACATTCCTAGACAGAATGGTTTAAAGGAAAAGATAAATAAAAATACATGCACATAAATGTGACAAAGTATATTACAAAAAATAATACGGCCTGGCCAGGGTCAAGGGAAAATAATATATATACACTTATTTCAAACCGAATCATTAAATCTCTATGAAATCATGCAAAATAATAATTTAAAAATAAACAATATTTTCTATTACATTATTAAACGGATCAACTTAAATTAAAATAATATTCTATTAACTATTCAAATAACCAACTAAAACGAAATAATATCTTCTTTAAATTATAAAAATAGTCAAATAAATAAAATAAATATTTCTTGTAAGATAAAGTAATAAACAAATCAAAAACCAAACGCTTCAGTGTTCAATGAGAACGCGTGAATGACACGAAGCCCCTTAACGGGCAAACAGTTTGATGCGAGAGGTGCCGGCCGGTAAGAAGGTAAGAAGATGTGGCGGAAAGGCGTGCGGCGATGTCGGCGTAATGTTGCGTCTTCGATGCGGCAGATCGGCGGATGAAGCGTCAACTTCCAGGGTCGGCGATCGGAGAGTGTCCGATCCAAATTTTTCTAACGATGAAGTATATCAGGCGTGCGTGACCAACGCTGGTTATTTTCGCTCAAGAAAACGTTAAAAATCAAAGAAATTTTTGCGCGTGCGTCTTCGAGTCGTGTTTCATTTGCACTCCTCCGCCCCCGCACCTTCCTCGTTATCGGCTCGAGCTACGGATTAGGCAGCGATAAGGATGTGTTGTCCGGCCTAATCAGTTCAAAGACGACGTATTCACGGTCATTTCACCTTATTTTAAACCATTCCGTCTCGGAGCACAGACCGCCTAACTAATACTAAAATAATAAATTTCTCTAGGCGTAAACAGTACGAATCAAAGGCATATCGCGTTTGGCTACCTAAACAGAGAATAGTAAAAATCTCGAGAGACATTAAATTCGTTGAAGGAAAATATCCAGAGAAAGAAGATAAGTCAACTCAAGATCTAGAAAATGGCAAGGATTTCAAAAGAAATATTGAAGTTCAAATTAAAGGGAATCGTCCGGTCACTCAAGATCAGCAACTGACTGAAGAAACCGAACCTCAAGAAGGTGATGAAGAAGATGAAAAGGGAAGTGAAGAAGTCGGAGAAGAAAAGAAGAACAAGTACATGAATTCACGAGGAAAGGGCGTGGAAGACCCTGCATACAACGGACAGGACAAAGAGCAAGACCCAAAAAGCACTTCGAGGACAATTGGTCGAGGAAGACCACAGAAGAAGAAACAAAAAACGACACACCTATTGGAGACAGTGCGAACTTCCCTCCATCAACGAGGCCCTTAACAACTCACCCTGGAGAAAAGATATAGTTGAAGAGTTTGAGTCTATCTTAAAGAATGACTCCTGGAAAATTGTTGACAAGAGGATTATCGGCTGTCGTCTAGTCTTAAAAGACAAGCTAGATCAGGATGGAAAACTTATTCGCAAGAAGGCTCGACTCGTAGCTAAAGGTTTTTCCCAGTTACACGGGATAGACTTCCATGAGACCTTTTCTCCAGTGGTAAGGCTTGGTTCACTAAGATGCCTAATAGGAGATGCCATAGCAAACTACTTGTCCATTCGTCAGCTGGACGTAATCACCTTACCTTAACGGAGAACGAAGAGAAAATTTTTGTGGAGCCCCCGGAATGCTTGGAAACCATCTTGGAGAAAATTAGAAACTCACCGGTCAAGACAATAAAAAAAAGGCATTAGATATGCTAAGGAAAACAAGAAAAGGAAACATAGCATGCCTACTGAAGAAATCATTGTACGGCCTAAAACAGTCAGGGAGACAGTGGTACCTCGAGCTACATACAGCACTGCTGAAGACACGGCAATAATAGTGTATTAGTCAAGTAATAGTAATAGTGCAAGACATTTTTCACGGTATATAATAGTGTATTTGCGATTATAATTAAAATCTGGCTTTTAGAAAATTTTCCTATATAAAATTTATCTAACACAGTCAACCAATAGTGTATTTGCGATTATAATTAAAAATCAGCCTTTTAGAAAATTATCCTATACAAAATTTTTCTAACAGTCTACAATAATGTATTTGCGATTATAATTAAAAATCAGGCTTTTAGAAAATTATCCTATATAAAATTTATCTATCACAGTCATATAATACTGTATTTGTGATTATAATTAAAAATCAGTCTTTTAGAAAATTATTCTATATAAAATTTATCTATCACAGTCATATAATAGATATTTACGATTATAATTACAAATCAGGTTTTTAGAAAATTGTCCTATATAAAATTTATCTAACACTGTGATATAATATTTATTGTAATATGTAAAGTGTCTGGATAGATTATAATTTTCACATTATTATACTTATCAAAATTTCTTCATTCAATCTGGGGCCGTGTAAACAAATGAACAAATTCTTACAACTACTCCCCATCTTTTATGTGAAAGGTTATTATAGCTTCTGTACGCTCTGTTAATTTCCGGTTTTCTTTCATGACAAAACTTTCTTTCAATGTCCGTACTTAATTGAAGTCTACTTACGGCTTCCAAAGACGGCTACGAAGATAAGTCAAGCGGACGGGGGACGTCTGAATTGTTAGTTTTGACAGGAGCGATGTCAAAACAGAGTAGGGGTGACGGTGGTCAGTTGTAGAATTGGATCATGCCGCGGGGCAAGGGCACTCAGACCAGAAGCAACTAATCCTCAATTTCCTGGGTTTTGTTCAATCTATTCATTTACCCACGACCGTTTACACAACACGATCCTTTAGTTTATTTAAATCCTCATCCTGGGCCCAATTACGTTATTACGATATTTTAAATCTAGTTTAAAATGTCAAAAATTGCTACTGTGGCAATGGACAAGATGTGTAAGTAATTGATTAATAAGTCATTTCATAATTGCCGAAAGAAAACATGCACTTGCACCTATAAGAACTTGTAAAGCATCAGGAGGGCAAAAACGAGGATCTATTTTTTGAGTCTCAAAACGCACAATTATTATAGAATCAAGTTAGACCTAACCGATACTATCACTATCCCTGATCATAGTGGTTCATCATGGTGTTCAGAAAAGGAAGTCGTCTTGCTGCTAATGAAAAGTAGAAAAATAAAAGCACCTTATTGACGTCATTACAATTAATTAAGGTTTTTAGTTGAGATGAAAAAAAGTCAATGGCACGAGCGGGATTCGAACTCACGATCTTCGGCTAGATACGCCGCTGCTCTACCACTTGAGCTATCGTGACCTCGATCCACTCGGACATCAACTTCCCATCTCAACCCCACCTTATGAGTTTTCCTTCCTTTTTGCCATTTTTCAAATGTCGTGTAATCGGATTGGATTCTCGACGACAAATGAAATGGCCACGGAGAGCGTGTACTTCATTTTAATTAATTAAATTCACTAATTTCGTGGTCCGTTTGACCAATTAATACATTACAATTAATTAAGGTTTTTAGTTGAGATGAAAAACCTTAATTAATTGTAATGTATTAATTGTCAAGCGGACCACGAAATTAGTGAACTTATTGAAGTCATTAACCATTACAAATATCTGGGTATTCCCCCCCCCCGTTTTTCTATGACTCGGCATTTTACGGAGAGGATATAATTGGCTTAATTTGGGATAAATCGTTTTTGGAAGGCCCTCATTATTAACGGTAAAGCCCCTCCTTCCAAAAACGTTCCTTACTTATTCAAAGCGGTTTGCCGTTCAATTGTATGCTGTGGTGCCCAGTGTTGGGGGTTTCAACGACATGTTGGTGGAAGAAGTTCAACGTTTCTTCATCAAGAAGTTGTTAGGGTCCCCCGTCATACACCAAATTAAATGGTTTCTATTGAGACTTCAACCTCTCTGGTTCATGTTTTCACCTACGGTCTCCATGTTGGTACTGCATCACGACTTTGAATCTACCTGCTCACCGGCTTTCTTGTTCTCTAGTCTTGAAGATTCTGGTTCAAGAACTGGGTTAATTTGGCGGAAAAGTACTCCTGCCCTTTTGACTCTAACTTCCAGGATCGGGATAAATGGTGTGCCCAGTTGATGGGCATATGTCAAAGGATGGACGAGTGTTACCGGGTAGTGTGTGCGGTCGTCTGGACAGTTTTCTTTTATCTAAAGATCTGCAGTGCCCCCTTCCTTGCTGTCCCTCACTGCAGGAAATACAGAACTTTCGCCCACAGAGCTGAGCTGGTTTTTCAAATAAAGAGGCGAGTTGGTTTTTCTTAACTACACTCCGTGGCGAGAAAGGGAGTTATCCCTCTGTGCTCTTTGTAACCGCAGAGAAAGGGAGGATGTGATCCATTTCTTGGGTGTAGTCCCATCCTCTCGTAATGTAGATATCTCCATACAGGACACAGCAGACCCAGCATAACCCAGATATTTGAATTCCTTAATGGTAGGAACAGTTTGCAATTGATCAGATTCTCACGACAGGCTTGGTCGTATCGTCATGATCTAATTAGGGAATTCAATTATGATCACTAGTTCTTTTCCTTTTTAAATTAGTATTATTGTATTATTATTGTATTATTATTTTAATTTTATTTATATATTTTTGATAGTTGTGGCTTCAACCTCCGGCAGACGGTTTTTATCCATGCCGTTATTTTATGTTATGGCATATATTTTTGTTTTGTAAATATTTTGTAACATAAAGCATTTATTATAATTATTATTTGCGGTCTACCTGATAGATATGTTATAGCATTACGATTTTACCAACTTAATAGTAGTAGTTGGTTTGTGTGTCATTTGCCAGTTACCTTTTAAACGTTTGTAAACAATTAGGTGATAAAAAGTATGTCTGGGTCGCCATTGTTTTGACGGAGTCTTGGATGTAATACACTTAGGTTTATCATGTTTATTTTAGGCCAGTTTTTATGTATCTCAGTTTGCTTTCTTTTTAGGTCGTGTAGAGTATTTTAATAGAGTAACTTATTTGGGTTTATACATTAAGTTTCAATTGTTTTGTGCATTTTTTTAATGGTTTTCTCTTGTTGAATTTGTTTTCTTTGTACGGCTGTTTTCTCGTGGTGTGCCTGTAGGTCTCTTGGACAGTGTTGGTTATGTCGTGTATATCTCAATTCCTCATGTTGAATATTTTGTCTGTATGTCACTTGGTTTATCGTGTGTATACCTGTAATCTCGTCTTGTACATGAATCCTATGTCATCGATATACTCAAACTTTTTTCCTTTTCTAATTGCAGCAACTGTATTTTTCTGTATATCGTTGTGAACAACCTGTATATCGTTGTGAACAACCTGTATATCTACCCAAGATCTCCTTCAATATGTCGTGTATATTTCAATTTCTCATGTCGAATATTGTGTCTGTATGTCCCTTGGTTTATCGTTGTAACGTAATCTCTTTATATCTATATCATATCGTGTTAAACGTGTCTCTAATATTCCTCGTGTTGAATTTGACTGTGTATTTCTTTTCTATCGTCTGAACGTGAGGTGCCTGCATGTATCTGTATTATCGCTTTGAATATGCCGTTACAATATCTCTCATTTTTCTCATGTCGAATTTGTTGTGCCTGTATGTTTCTGTTTTATCGTTTTGCACGTTTCTTGCCAGAACCTCAGTTTCATCGTATTGAATGTCTTTTTAAAAACTGGTTTGAATTTTCAACCAATGGCAGAGACATGATATTTATTTTTAATATGAAGATTCCAATTCCATTTTGGAAAATTTCCCAGTTTTAATGTATTTTTTTTGTGGATAGGAGAAAATATTCATCCTAGGCAAAACAATTTTATAGCATTAGAGTTTTCACTAAATTTATAAAATTATGTACATTTATATGTTAGGTTACGGTAAAATGGGCCAGAAACTCGTACCTCCGTGGAGGTGAGCAATGGAATTTACCGCGACCCTGTTCAGGAAGCGCAAAAGAACGCCGTTGGGCAGCTATTACGTAAAACCGGTCGTCAATTACCAACTCAGATAATTGAGATTTGCCAGAACTTTTTACATGGACCGGTGAAATATAGCCTTTTGCTATAACATAAACACCAACGAAATAATTATTAACAGAATGGGTGGTTTTAAATGAGTAAAAATATCCTATTTTTAATACTACTTTTCAATATTATCCATCAGTTCCGAAAATATACGAAGAAATATATAACAATAATTATTAACTTTTTTATTTAAATAGTGAATTATAGTAAAATCAACAGGTTCTAGGAGGGAAAAACAAAATAGTTTTCATTTATTTATTATATATACAAATGCACATTTATTTTGTATTACTGTACAAACAAATATACATTATTTACAAAACAATTTGTCGACAGGTACACAAAATCATTAATCGCAAAATTAAAAATCGCCTAAATAACACATTTTAATGTACAAGTTTTAATTTTTTTAAAACAATTATTGGTAATAGCTTATAGTACATTCAGAGAATATAGAGAATCTTAAATTATTGGTAATATCTAACCCTTACATCCGATAGTACAAATATTTACAAATTCATAGAATAAGATCACATTGTTTTCTTAAAAAAAACTTAAGAAATATTAATGTACATAGTAATAACAAAAACATACAAAATTGTCAAAAGGAAAAACAAAGTCGAACAGTTTTATCAAGTACAGACGTTACAATAACAATAAAAATTCGTTCTTTACAAGTGAAGTCTATTGTTTTAAATACTGGAGGAACTCAGAATAATAACATTTACGTCTTTTTTAAATTTGTTTTAATTACTTATTGATTTCCTCGACGATGGCCATGATGCTGGTGTAAGTGCCGACTCCGAACCCCAAGAGTGAGATAGAAACGATCGTAAGATTCTTGAGGAAGAAAAGCACGAATTGGGCCCCAGTGTATTCGTACCAGTATGTAAAGAGCTGGATTAACGCTGGGAAAGCGAGCCCCATTGTCGACAGACACAGAGCTCCGATCAAAGCGATAAAAAGTTCTAGATATGGAATCGCAGCTGCTAATGCGACTGAAAACAAAAATACGCTGTAATGGTATTCTACAGATATGCTTGAAACTATTCAGGTTGGCACTTGGACAACCAATGTATTGGAATTATATGCTAGTTTTTGAAATACTTACTCGTAAGAAGTACGAGAAGTGTTCTGACAATGTATTCGCCAAAAGTCTTCCATTTCTTGACGTGAGGTTCGCAAAATTCTTTCCAGCTGATGTCTACAGCGACGTAGCAGGCGAGGGCGTGTGTGATGAATATAGCAAATGCCAGCATTAATCTAGCCGCCTGTGCGAGCCTGTAAAATACATGAAAAGTGTTAAAAAATTATATGAAAAAATTAAAAGTTTTTAAAATTACTTTTCGTGCGCGGGCAAGCTGAGGGTGATAGACCCTTTGACATCAGGTCCGTATTTCAGGTAGCCGAAGAATCCGACGAACGTGTAAAGAAGGGTGATGGGCACCATGGCGCAGTTGAGCACACCGAACGTGTTGCCGAACTTTCGCGGTTCTTTCATCTCGTTTTCTAGCGGCATCACTACTCCGATGGCTTCCATGGCGAACAGCACTGTCCCGAAGAAGAGTGGCATCCCTTTGAAAGGTGCCACAGCGTCTCTGGTGCTAACGGCCGGCACGTCATCGAACATGTAATAGAATATTATAACGAAGCTCACGAGAGTTACGGCGTTCGCTATCGAAGAAAGTGGTGCCAAGTATTTCAAGTTTCGCACCCAGTTGATCAGTATCAGAGGCAAAAGGATCATCAGCATGTACAACTTGATGTCCAATTGTTGCTCAGGGAAGTAGTAATCGCAAACCTAAGTTACAACAACAATGAACAATTTTTGCCTCCTAATATTTAAAAAATAAAATAGGAAAAAAGTTACATCTTTGATGTTAGTCGATATAAAAACCACGTATATGCAGCATGAGCCGATCTGATAGAGAAGTAGAAAGATGTTGCAAATGATCCTGCAAGAACAATAATTGAAGTGTTCATTAAAAAAACTACTATTTATGTAACCACTGAGAAGGTAAAAATATAATAATTAAGTCGGGACTTTATCATTACAAGACGGCTAGGGCAACTGAACGCCTGGACATACTGCTTGGATAATTTTTATTATTGAACATTTGTTAGCAAATTGTGATTGTTTGAGAACTGCTTCTGGCCTTAATTTGTAATTATGTTTACTTTTAACTTAATCCTTACATTGTTTTAAGAAAGAACTTAGAATTGAGACACTGATGACATATGTTGTCATCATACGGAACCAGGACATACATAATAAGGCTCAAAGTTAAATTCAAAAATTAAAAATGATAAAAAATAAATTGTAAGATTTGCCCTTTCAACATTATCGATATAAATAGCAGGAAAACGTGCTTACGGTACTGCTGGAGCCAATCCTCTGATGGCTTTAGGTCCATCGGCCACTGATGCTTGCGCGGTCGCGGGATAGGTCATGCTCGGCAATTTCTTCCTCTTACACAGCTCATACTCAGTGCTGATCTACAAAATAAATCCAATGTAATTAAAATTCGTGTATAAACGGTGATGTGTTAAGCTTACTAGTATGTGTATGGTGTATGTGCAAAGGAAGCCAATGACTATCGTTCCTATCGTTGCAACGGCATATCCCGCGTTGTGGAACGCTTCTGGCATCGCTAGGATCCCAGTTCCCAAACTTGCCTTTAACATGTGAATTAACGTTTCCCAGTATCTGAAATTGTTTGAAGAGTAAGTATCATCATCGTATTTTTTTTAAAAATAAGTGATCTACTACGTATGAAAGGAATATATAGCAGGATTTATACATGAAACATTGAGGTGGCTTACGTCGTGGGATGTTTGACGACTCTGTTGTCATAGGGGTCGTACTCCTTTTCAGCTGATTTGTGCGGATGGAAAGAGTTCTGATTCTGGATGTATATCGACTTATGGTCCCTCGGAAGTTTTTCACTGCATTTCAAAACAATTAATAAAAATCCTGGATGACAAAGCAATCGAGCCTGTTAGACACTGACCTTTTGCTTTCTGCTGCCTCCTTACCTACGCAAGGGCCGTTTACGTTCGACAGCCTGCGAAACTTCATTTCTGTTGTGTTGCCGTCGTAAACCATACCAGGGTTATCATACGACATCTATTAAAAAAAAATATAATAATTTTAATTTAAAAAAACCTGTTAAGAGTTCTAGTTAAATACTCCCTTTTTTTTTACATAATTCATTATTATATTTCTCATCTCAAACTTTCATTTGTTCGCGCGCGGCGATGGAATTGTCTTGTACAATAAACCCAACTGGACATGTATACAAACTGCTTCTCTACATTTGCCCCTGTCATAAATGGTACCCTCTTGCCACTTCATTAACTTAAGAGCTATTCGATTTTTAAAGTGTGCTAATTGAAACGAAAATGGGGCAAAATAATCAGTACCGTTTGTAAAATACCGTGATATTTATCCTTTCCGTCTCGCGAATAAACAAATGAAGTCAAGGCTTCGCAATGATCAAAATTACTTTATAATGTTGATAATGGCTTTCCCTCGGCTGGAAAACAGAAGTTAAGAAGACAGAATGTCTCTTGGCTCACTTTGAACGTGCGTTTGGGTCATAAAATCATAAAACGTAATAACTACGCACAACATTACTCGAGGGTCTAAGCTAAAATATAAAATTTGTACTACTTAGTAAACGTTCATACTTAAATTAATGACCCATCATGTAATATATATATTATGTGCTGCTATATTCGTGACACAAATAATTCTAAGGAAAAAGTATTGTATACATGCTTTATAAAAATCATTGGACATATTTTTCGAGTCTATATTCATTCTGCCTACGTGAAATATGAAATGCTGTTAAAACTTTTTTTAAATAAAAAAATCTTTTACCATTTTTAGGTTGATAGCAACCATCTGGCATTCAAAAGCATTAAAAAATTATGAACAGAATCATCATCCTACATTGGAAATAGGCTCTAACAATATAATAAAATGAATTGTAATTTATTGTTTTAATAACAAAACCGCCCGTTGAAAAAAGAACTCGAATATATATTTAAAATATATACAGGGTGTTTTGGAAGAACATTTGTATCCCTTATTTTTGTAAATTCCGCTGAAAAAGTCCATTACCTTGTCATCCCTGATGGTTATCGCTAGGTGTTCCCTCATGTTGTCACCCGTGCTGTCCATGGCTACAGTTGCTCAATTCACCTGGAACAAACGACAATTACCCTTCAGACCGGCTTTTCTAACTTTAAATCCTTGAAAAGTCAAACCACAATTACTCGACCGGATTATCTTATGATTTGTTTTACATGCTCAACCGGTCAAGCGTTTGAGAGTTGAGATATAAACGAAAAACCTGTTTTCTGTATAAAAACTTGTAAGTTAAAATAATCTTTACTGTCTCATCGATTGACGCAGAATGTGCACATAAACAGGGTAATATGTTTATAGAGTTTAATTATTCGATATGTATCAGATCAAGTTATTATTATGATGTGCATAATTGTTACAAAAATGTTTTAACTTCAGTTTCATGAATAACAACTGTTTTAGGTTAGTCTTTCAAAAAACCCTTTTGAAACTACGTGCACACAAACACTGAAACAAACAAATGCGTACGAAACGAATACGCCTCAATGAAAGTTACTAGTCATCGGCGTAGGCCATAAAATCTATCCCGTTTTCCTCCATCCCTTATCTATCCCTCAATTTCTCTCTCTCCCTCCCTCTCCCTCTCCCTTATTCCGTATACAAAGAAGCCAAATATAATTCTGTTGGTGGCTTTAAAAATTGAAAATTTGACTAATACTGACACAACTTGCAAATAACATACTAATAAAACAATTTTTACATCGTAAACAAACAGATATGTACGTTTATTAGTCAAAAACGCATGTAAACAAATATTTATTACTTTCTCATCAAAACAATATTATGTTCGTCGGTAGTCAACAAGACTTATGTAATTCATATGTATCTAAGATAAAAGCAATTGGCCCACGGCAAAACATTTAACAATATACTTTAATGATGTATCGTTTATAATAGGTAGGAAACATTTATTTTTCAGAAGTAGCAAGTGAGAACCGTGTGAAGTTTTATTTTCGTAGGGGGAAGCCAAAAGATGGGAGTTTGATTATCAATGAACTTGATTAAAACGGAATGCGTAACAACTCGAACAATATGGAATAATTGAAGAACGGAAAATGTGAATGAACTCTAGCCTTTCTGTGTTTTGATTTCGTCAATTTCCGTCGATTCATCACGTCCAAGCGTCACAACGCAACAATAATTCTCACCGTACGTGCAGGAAAAATGCGACGAGTCGCAAGATTACAACTGAGAAGAATGATTGTTCGATTTCATTGATACGCGGGATCGAAACGACGATGTCCGATTTCTCCCCTGAAACAAGGTCCCTCGTGATGAACGTAACAATTGCTGAGACCTCCTCGTCTCGAAGATAAAAGACAGCAGGTCGTGGGCTATCTTGTCCCAGGACTCCGTTCTCATTCAATATCGCGATAAAGCGTGAATCATTTGGCAAAAGGTCGTCGAGAAGGACGAAGAGGGAAACGATAGATGGATAAAATCACCGCGCTTCTTGTCCATACCAAGGCTACCGTCCTAAATTTTATACGTCAATCAACGACGTCAAAAATAAGATGTTTAAAAAAATAAAAGAAGAGCTAACAGAATTGTTATTATAATCATACGTTTTCTAAACACGAGTTGAATATTTTCATTAAAGAATTTACCATAACCCAGGTACAATTTATTTTTTAGAATTACTGGCATTTTGAATTCCAAAATATTCATGTGAATAATGTCGATGGAATGATTACTTAGTTTAATTTTGCATAAGTGGAATAACGTTAATTGAAGAATTTTTCACGCTCAGATTCTTTATTATTGCATTACGTGATTTCAATTAATTTTTTTAAAATTCAGATATGCGGACGTAGCAACTAAATTGAAACGTACTTGATCGAATATTATTGATTCGATGTAATACTGGGATGTTACATAAAACATTCTGATTTGTTACTATTGTTACGAAAAAGGCATTAGTTAGTTTTATTTTATTATTAATTTTTTATAATTGTTTTAAATTTATCTAATGAACAATATCATTTTTAAATTCTGGCGTGATATTTTCAAATTGAGGGTTTTATTTTAATAGAACAAAATTCATTATTATTTTACGAACGTACAACTTTTAAGTGATCCAATGGACATTTTGTGTTATTGGACTGTTGAAAAAAACTGAAATCATAGAACATAAAAAAAGGCAACAAATAATTATAACTACATCAGTAACTGAATACTGAATAATAGAAAATAATGCGAATAAAAATTTAAACCTAAATATTAAAATAAATTATTAATTTTAGTTATTTATATATCTTGAGTATAATCAGTAAATGTACTAATCGTATGCCAGCGATTTATCCTTATCGTATCGTTAATTAACAAATATCGGAACGTAAATTTGGGCAGTAGTAATATTACTAATCAATCCATTATATTTCGTGATCCGATTGACCAAATAACTTCTTTCAATTAATTAATCTTTATGGTAAGGTATTGGTTGAAATAAAAAAGTTAGGGTCACGACTGGGATTTGAACCCACGACCTTCGGCTAAATTCGCTGCTGCTCTACCACTTGAACTATCGTGACTTCGATCCACTCGGGCACCAACTTCCCACCTCAGCCTATGCTACGAATATGAAAAATCGCAAAAAGGAAGGAAAATATAATGGATTTAATAAGTAAAACGAACTGTATCTTCACTAAAGCTCTCCGTGGCCATTACATTTGTCGCCGAGAATCGAATCCTGATTACACGATATTTAAAAAATGGCAAAAAGGAGGGAAGATTCGAAAGGTAGATTGAGGTGGGAAATTGGTGTCCGAGTGGATCGAAGTCGAAAAAATGGACTTTCCAGTATAATTATCATTACATTGATAATCTAATATTTTTGGAGGTGGTCTGGAACTTGGCCCTTTTTTCGCAGTGAGGTTTTTGATGGATTATCATACTTTTTGATCGCTTTAGCAAAGTGGACGTGCTCTTGGTTTTTTTTCAAAGCACAGGAGCGATTATGTATGTCGTAGATTTTCTCTTATAAGATCGTTTGGGCCTCTGTTGAGGAGTTGAGAGGTTAGCCCCTTGGGCGATGCTACTTCTATTTATATTGTATTTTTAATAAGTAGGCATTTTCACTAAATCAGCTGGTACAGATCATAAATGTGTTTTTAATTTATTATATATATTTTTACTTTTCATTAAATACGATTTAAAAAAAAAATCACTCCCGGGGGCCGTTTGGCCCACCAAAACCTAAATCTAATCAAGCAATTGAACTCACAAAAATTTGAACTTGGAATGAAATTAATTGTAATGAAAGTTAATTTTTTGTTTTAAATCGTTGGATGAGCGTAACTTCACGCATTTAGAACTATCCTCTAAAGCTGCACTAGTTTTAAGGAAAGTAGCGACCGTTACTTGATGATTATTTGGAGGTCGTGCGATGCGGTCTGGTGTGACGTAGGTTTAAGAAAAACATTTTCTTTATCGTGCCAACGTTTCGATCTTTCAATTAATTAAGGTTTTTAGTTGAGGTAAAAAGGTCAGTGTCACGAGCGGGATTCAAACCCACGACCTTCAGCTTGATACGCCGCTACTCTACCACTTGAGCTATCGTGTCTTTGATCCACTCGGGCACCAACTTCCCACCTCAGCCTATCCTACGAATATAAAAAATGGCAAAAAGGAAGGAAAATATAATGGATTTAATAAGCAAAATGAAGTATATCTTCACTAAAGCTCTCCGTGGCCATTCCATTTTTCGCCGAGAATCGAATCCTGATTACACGATATTTGAAAAATGGCAAAACGGAGGGAAAATTCGAAAGGTAGTTTGAGGTGGGAAATTTGTGTCCGAGTGGATCGAAGTCACGATAGCTCAAGTGGTATAGTAGCGGCGTATCTAGCAGAAGGTCGTGGGTTCGAATCTTGCTCGTGACACTTTTTCATTTCAACCAATACCATACATAATGATTAATTATATTCGATGATACTGATTCTACTGAGATGAGATTATTGCTAGTGAAAAAATATTATTACCATTAAACCATAACGTTTTCAAAAACACAACATTTTATACCAGTGACCACTTTCGTTTTTTTATTAAAATTTTTACTTTAATAAAAAAATGCATTAATTTTAAATTAAAAATCAATGTTAAGGCCATTTTTAACGAAAACACTCAGTTAATTCGTCGAACTTTCAAAGAATGTATCCCCTTCATCAGTAATTTAAAGTTATTTTATTCATTACTCAATATAATTATAATCATTCGTTTAAAAAAATTATTTACTTAAAATTAACTTTTCAAGTAAGTTGATTGAGTTGGTGCATAATTAATTGGAATTAAGGTATTTACCTTAATTAATAGGAAATACTTGCACCAACTCAGTCAACTTACGTGAAAAGTTCATTTTAAGTAAATAATAATTAATTCACGATAATATCAGTTTTCATTCCACTAGCTCTAGCACATCAGGGAATAATGAATTTGGCCAAAACTCAAATGCTTTTAGCTACTCATTTTAATATTGTCATGACACGAATTCGAATAAACGTGAACAATTTATTTTTGATATACTGTCTTAGGTGAAAGTGTTGAAAGATGCAGAATGTTTCATACCACTGAAGCAATTATTGTCCTACATGAAATAATTTTTTTAACAATTAGGCGTTTTAACATTAAACTTGAGAACAAAATGCACTTGTTTAGTTTTATATACGAAAAATAATTTTCCAACAATAGGAAATGTTTACATAAAAATAGCATTTATTTGTACGGATCATCGAAAAAATCCAATATCATGAAAACGTGCAGTGGTCGATACATTTAATGAACACTTGTCCCTTTTTATAATGAACACGGGGTAAACACTCGAAATCAGTCAGAGTCCAATCACTTGAGAAAATTCATTCGTTTATTTGACGAAAGTGAATTCCAATCTGATTTCTCTGGCGATGAAATTTGAAAAGAAAATTTGATTTAACCAATTCTGTGACGAGTGTAAATAATAATTACTTGAATGTTTTTTTATTAGTGGGTATCTCAGCTAAGTCTATGTTAATTATGTTTGATTTTACAATCACCCACTTCTATTCTTTATTGAGATCAACAATAAAATTTACCATGTTGATCAAAGATCAGATAAACAATGTTTAAAACGTTACACGTATTAGAAAGTTTAAATATAATAATATTAAATATTTAAAACCGAATAATAGCGTGATCATTATTGCATTCGGATTACAAAGGATAAGAAATATGATTAATCTAATCGACACCACTTAATAAAAAGTTCCAATCAGCATGTAAAATTTAGTAGATTTTTTATTTTATTTGTGATATTAAATTTATTTTATTAATTTTAAAGTTAATTTCAAGTATAACAAACCTACATATAAATAGAAAATAACTGTTAATAACTTTTTCTACTTTTAATGAAGAAAATCTTTCGAAAAAACAAGAAAATCTGGGAAAATAATAATGAGGTTTGTGTACAAGCAACCACATTAACATACTATTAATGATTGTTTTAATATTTTATAATAGATTTTGGTTTTGTTGAACTATTTAAAAAATGCAAGTGTAATTATTATAATTTTTAAATTAGATGGTAGAAATGTGATTAATTATTCAACTTACGAAAGGTGGTGAGTAATTTTTGTTCCCACCCTAACTTAAGTTGTTTCGACATTAAATTTTTAAATAGCCCGTTGGGGGAGCTTTCTCCAAATATTCCAAAATTGTAACATTATGAACATAACGAAAATCGCCATTGGCCAAATACCTTTGTAACAATCACGATAACAGTTCCCTAAGGAATTGTCAATTCTGTGTCCGGTTTGTTTCTCTCGGATGTCCTCAGGTGGAAAAATCGCACAGTGATCCTCGAGGCTCGTCTTGACGAGAATAAGAGCGGGACTGTATTATGTCTGAAGTGTCGTAACGTCATTTCGCTTGTTTTATATTCTTAAGTCGGCCACCCTAGCTCTCCCACCACAGCCCACTTCTTCAATACGCTGATGGAACGGCGTCTTCATCATGCGAGGCAGATTCATTCCATTCATGTCGATTTGTTTACTTTGTGACACTGATAAAACGTCTTGAATGGTATTGAACATACGAGCACGAAAACAAAAATCGATAAAATCCTAACTTTAAGCTACATTTCAGTACATGTAATGATTTCCAAGTAATCTTAGTTAAGGACGCAAGATTTAAACTACCCAAATAAAAAGTATAAAATAGAATAGAATCATTTATTGTCGTATTATACATTGTACGTAAACACGTCGAGTTACAAGTAAATCAATACAATTAAACTTAAAAGAATAATTACAAAATTATCTTAATAAGGTATCATGGACTTGAAGAACTAAAAAATTCATTTCCATACCATTTTCTCTGCAAATATACCTTTAAAGCCTTTTTAAAACACGATAAACCAATAAAAATGCAAGTCCCTATGTGGGGAACCTATTTATTAGACCATCTACTAATATTATGACCTGATGTAAAATCATTATTGGAGGGAGTATTGTAAGTATAAATTGTCAAATCACTAGTTAAAAACATTTCATTTTTTTAAATGAAAATGGCAATTCTATAAATGAATAGGCAAGTTAGTTTCATTATTTTGTTATTTACAAAAAGCTGATGGCTCACAATTCGACCATTTTTTTATTTTATTTTATTTATTTATTTATTTTTTTTTTTTGGGGGGGGGGAGGTCTAATGATTTTAATAGCGGCAGTACTATTTCCCAAAAAATCAGGGCATAGGAGTGATTTAAAATTACATGTGTTCAGTTGTATGAGTGTGTCTCGTAGAATTCTAGAAAAAACTTTTTGAAAAATCAATTATATTTTAGATAAACCTAAAAAAATATTATTCTAATCTAGACAACAGTTTTGTCGTAAACAAAGCCAAAATAAAGGTTTAATTTTAATTGACCAAAGACAGTCAAGTTAACACACAAATATAGTTGTAGTAACAATAAAAACATTTTTAACTGTATTTGTTATTTGACAAATTAATTTTCACAAAATTCTAATACTCAATCTTTAAATAATTCCATGGAAAATTCTTAGTTAAAAGTATTTATAACTGCACATAAAAAAATGGACATTTGTTCTATATTTTTAATGCTTATGCTATTTTACAATTGGTTTATGATTTTTTTTTCTTCTCAGAATCGGTTATTTATTCAAGACACTTGGACTTATTAATTTTCACAAAATTCTAATAGTCAATCTTTAAACAATTCCTTGGAAAATGCTTAGTTAAAAGTATTTATAACTGCACATACAAAATGGACATTTTTCTTTTTCAGTATCGGTTATTGATTCAAGACTTTGTGATAATTAATTTTCACAAAATTTTAATAGTCAATCTTTAAACAATTCCATGGAAAATTCTTAGTTAAAAGTATTTCTAACTGCACATTAAAAACGGACATTTTTTTTAGTATCGGTTATTGATTCAAGACTCTTTGGGTTAATTAATTTTCACAAAATTCTAGTAGTCAATCTATAAATAATTCAATGGAAAATTCTTAGTTAAAAGTATTTATAACTGCACATAAAAAATGGACATTTGTTCTGTTTTTTCATGCTTATGCTATTTTACAATTGGTTTATGATTTTTTTCTTTTTAGTATCGGTTATTGATTCAAGGCTCTTTGGACTATATTTTTTTTAAATCTTGCCTTTTTTACTCACTAATTAAATTATTTTCTGCAATTCTGCAAAAAATTCCATTGTTAACAGAACCCTGAATTCTTTCAGATCGTGTTCATACCGAGGAGTATATTTTACCGTCTAGGATAATTCGATAAGTCGTGAATCAGCAAATCGTAAGATAATCAATCATGTAGAAAAAAAATTCATAGAGATAATCAGAAAAATTATTTAGGAAATAAAGTAAACAAAATTCAGTTTAGTAAAACGTGAGAAAACGCGCCAAAATAATAGAACATTCGACAATTTTTTAAAATCTAAAGAATAGATGTAGGTTTTTAAGTTAGGGGTCGTCATTGGGCGCGGTGTTCATGACTGTAAGGTAAAGGTCCCGGGTTCGAATCCTGCGGCCCTGCATTCGAACCCGGCATACTTACAAATGCTTTTTTTCAAACCCCGAGGGTTCATATTCCTACAACTTCGTAGATGAAATATTATCGTTAAAAAAATATTAAATTTTATTATTTCGATTTTCATCTTACAATAACAATACTAGTGAAAAGACTTTCTTGGATGAAAGTAGGTAGAAATTTTATTCATGTAAAATGTTTCTAATTCAACAGGCTGATTTTTATAAAAAATCATCACCGACCAACTTTAATCTAGGTTATGGTACACGTAATTATACTGTAATGGTGATATTAATAAAACATACATACGCGCTATGAAGCTCTCACTGCAACCTGGTGTAAATTCCAACAGAACATACATTTTTAAATTTTTCTACAAGTGTTAAATCAGTCTGGCTTTACAAAGAATTAGTCCTTAAGACTTGAAGTTAGTGATGAAAAAGGACTTTGTGAAGGAACAAAAAAAGGAAGAATTAACCTCTTCTTTTTATAAAAAGTTTATTGAGCCCATTCGTTACAAAAATAGGCCCAGCAGAGGTAATTCTGAATTAATTTTTTTTTACGGCTAACAGTTTTCCCTTTTAGTCGGAAATCCCTGTTTGTTTTGGCTTATACGGCGAGCTGTGATGATAAACGGATTTTTTTTGTCACAGCTTCAAGGTTGCCTCCGACAGGGAAACTATTTCGAAAAGGACCTCGTTTATCAAGGAAAATGGAAAAACATACATGTTAGTTGTATTAAAGTGGCTATCCTTCAGAATTAATGTAGATGTTCAAAAAACACGTCTGTTGTCCACAACCTTCTATATTATGTATATTTTTGTTTAATTGATTAATTTTTTTAATTGAATACTTTAGTAATTAGAATGCTATTTTGGTAAGAAAAAAAGTTTAATTGCTTTGCTGGATAAATTGATTTTCACTACAACAGCGATTCTTCACTGATCGGAATCTTTCTACACTTTTTTCGAGTTTTCGAGTTAAGACTACTGCAAGAAATACCATCAACGATGCTAGGTGGTGTAAATTCATGACACGCGGCAGTTCGTATAATGCCAAGGCTCATCGATAAATTCTCTAATAAATTATTTTTGTACACTCACAAAGTTAAAGTATTTGACATTTCGATTTGGTTTCGGCGTTTTCCCTCAGCTTAAGTTTTTTTCTTCGGGATTTATAATTTATTGTTGATGTTATTGTCTACCAACTATCCTTTTTACGAGCAAACTGTTAAATTTTAAAGAAAAAATTATTGTGGACAGTTCAACAACTAAACAACTAAACAAAACGCTTCGAATTTAATTTAAAATTAAATAATATAATTATTAAATCCATTGTATTTAGTGGTCTGTTGACCAAATTACTTCTTTCAATTAATTAATCTTTTTATCTAAGGTTTTGGTTGAAATGAAAAAGCTAGTGTCACGAGGAGGATTCGAACCCACGACATCGGCTAAATACGCCGCTGCACTACCACTTGAGCTATCGTGACTTCGATGCGCTCGGACACCAACTCTCCATCTCAACCGAGAACTTTTCGAATTTTCCCCTACGACCTTCGGTGGTAGAGCAGCGGCGTATTTAGCCGAAGGTAGTGGGTTCGAATCCCGCTCGTGACACTGACTTTTTTATCTCGACCAATACCTTTCGTAAAGATTAATTTACTGACTAGTTTTGATGTGATTTTTTTACGTGTTAATGATTTCATAGCCGCTTGGCTATCCGTTCTTATGAGGATTTTCTTGCCAGTTTTATAAGATTTTCTATGGCACAAGCATTGATTGTATTTCCCTTGAAAGACCTAAGCGTACTTCACTAATGAGTTTGGCAGCTCATGTTTTTGACTTGTAGAAAAACGCCTGAGCCGGTTCCTTCCGGTTTTTTGGAACCATCTGTATACCATATACTGTATACAGTTTCAGGAGAAAATACAGGTTTGATCGTGTTCTTTGACAAACGCTCAAAACTTTCATTTTATGGCAAAAATAATCAAATGCAAATGAAACAAACTCTGATTACAAACATAGAGTCTAGAAGACATAGAACTATAGAGGTTGAAAAAATCTGTCATATTACGGTTTTTATCAAAGACGATCAAACTACAAAAACATCACAGGTGTGATTAACTTTGGTACAGTGTATTAAAATAAAAGCCCTGGTGTAATATATCTATATATATGTACAACCGATTTACTTATAAAACTCTGAAGTCATAACCGAAAAATCAATTACATATAAACAATGAATCAGAATCTTATGACTGACAGAATCGGATGTTTTCTACACAAAATAATTTACAAAGAATAAACCTTAGTACATAATAAAGCGGTGAAAATTCGCCTTGAAAATATTATAGTAATTTCTAGTCTAATATCCAGGTCGACCTTAGCTAGTTTCCGTTTGTCATCGTCTTAATTCTGACAAGTCGTGTCAGGCTGTAGTCAACGCTGCCAAAGTCACAAACGTTCGACATAAAATATAACCAGCTCGTATAACAAACGGCCTAATTCCCAGTAATTTCCCCAACTGAAAACAAACACGAGCTCGTCACACACAACCTGGTTGACATTAGCTTAAGAGCAACAATAAAACTTCACATTTGTTGTTGTTGATCTACGGTTTTTTTAATCTTTTAAAAGAAAATCAATTCACAGTACAGTTAATCGAAGAAACGATATTCCAATTCAACAAAACAGAAAACCACTTGTGGGGGCCTCATAAAAAGTGGTGGAAAAGTACAACGTATAATTAACTGTTAAACATATTATTATCAACTGTTATCAGTATCCACTTTCGTCAGAATAGTGCGTGTAGGTTAATTATTTAAGCCAATGATATTTGTTTGTTAAGACAGATTATT